CATCAGAGTTTCTTCGTATTCTTTGAGGTCCTCTATGGAACTAAGGGCTTATTCTAATGTTGACTGGGCTAGTGACTCTATGAACCGTAAGTCCACTACGGACTTTTGCCTTTTCTTCAGTGATTCTCTTATTTCTTGAAAAAGTAATAAGCAAACTTTTATTTCTTGTTCATCTACTGAAGCTAAATATCGTGCTATGACGTCTACTATAGTTGAGATAGTTTAGTTACGATGGCTCCTTGCTGATATTGGCATCATATTATCTGCGCCGATTCCTATGTATTGTGACAACACTAGTGCTATTCAGATTGCTCATAACTTAGTCTTTCATGAGCCCACAAAAGCATATTGAGATTGATTGTCACTTTGTGTGTCATCATCTTCAATTGGGCACTATCTCCCTCCCCTTTCTTTCTTCTACTATACAACTAGCAGATTTCTTCACAAAGTTGCATATTATCACTCGTTTTCGTTTTCTTCTTAGCAAACTCTTGATGTTTTCTGCTACCATATCATGAGTTTGAGGGAGGGTGTTAGAATAGTTAGCATATTTAGACTTAGGGGTAGCTTAGTCATTTATTTTCTTTTATGTTACCCTACTATTTAAAGACCTTTTGTATGTATTTTTCTTTTATGTTGTTCTAGCTAGTTGTGCCGTAATAATATTTCTTTCTTCTCGTTTCTTTATTTTTTTCTTTGATCTAAATTAACATTTAAGTTATAATTTTTGGTTCAGTGACAATCTTGAAAAACAACTTTGCAATACATCTATTTTTAATTTTTTATCTAATAAAATTTATTATTTCTGCGGGAAACGACTACAATAGAATCAAATCAAAACCAACAGATGTTGTTCAATTTCAGTATGATTTTAAAATTTTTTTGGAGTATCATAGACTTAACCCCTTACATAAAAACATTTTGTAATACTAAAAATCGAATATTGATCATACAATATTTATATTTTTAATAATAATTTATCTTTCATTTCATTTTATTTAGTTACTCAATTTAAAATTAAAGTGAACATAGATAAAATAAAAGAGGTAGGGGAGAGAAAAGAAAAAAGTAAGGGTTAAGCGGAGAATATGATATTTTTTAGAGGAAAAAGAATTCTAGAATAAATTTTATATCATTGGATCAAAAAAATGAAAATTAAATCATTCTTGACAATTATTGTACTTTTATAAGTTATAGATTCAACTTTTTAACTAGAAGTTATAATAAGCTATAACAACAAAGCTTATTTGTCGAAGAGTAAAGCTATTCGAATTTACAAAAATTAACTTAACTAAGTTTTAATGTTTGATAGGATTTATAGTCAATTTAAAGATTATATTGAATTAGATCAACAAATTATATCTCAATAACATCGATATTGTCCAAAATTGTTCCCAAACATATTTTCTTAGAAAACGAATACCATTGCTTTTTTGTAGCCTCGGGTTTGTGGTTTTTGTAAGGTAACCCGTGGGGTTGCTGCCGACGGAACAAGACAAAGTGGTCCACTTGGTCAATCCTAATTTACATTCTCTTTCCTTGCCTTTCTCATACAAAATGTAGCTTTCAAAGAGAGACTTTTTTACAGCTTTATTAAGGACTATTCAAATGCTAATATAATATGATAAAAAAGAAATGGGAAAAGGAGAAAGACGATGGTATAGCCCATTCTATGGACGACAAAAGTTTATTCAAAAATCAACATTAGTCTCGTGTAATATATATATTGCACTACTAACCTGTAGAAGAATCCTATAAATTATATCTATTTCTTGTCTCTAGAAGATAAATTTATAATACTATAGAGGGAACATATATGCTCAATAAGACATGTAACTGTTTCTTGTATAAATAGTAAACCTAAAAATAGGAGACTGTAGAATAATTAGTATTCAACAACAAATGTTAATATGAATATAAAGTTGCCTAAATAAAAGGATAGAATTAAAAATCAAGAGTAAAAACAAAGTATTTAGAGAGAGTGACAAAGGAACAAAAAATTAGGAAAGTAGATCAAAGGGTTTGGATTATTCCCTCTGGTGGAGCCTCCCAATTTCCCGGCTCGTCAACTCCAGGATCTTTCTCTAGCACGAAGTCTGAAAAAAAAATATTATTGGTAGGGATGAGTACTAAGCTCTGTAGAAAAATCCTCTCAAATTCTAACAATGTTTGAAAAAAAGTAGAAAATGGTCGGTCTCATTTGAAAAATAACATACGTAAATTTTGAAAAAAAACATGATATTTTAAAAAGATTTCAAGTTTATATATTAACAATAATTAAGTACAAAAGTAAAGTCAATCCCACCATAAATAATCATTCCAAAGAGTAATCATTCTCACAACAATTTTCAAGATAATCATATCCAAAAGATAATGCAATAAACAATAACCACAATGTATCTCAAGTCTGGTGTAAGATAATCGTAGGAATAAACACATAGAGAATATCCTAGCCCACACACACACAAATCCTCGCAAAGATATCAAACTTCGGGAAGGGCACCTACCGATGCATTGTCCCATACCAATGTATAGGCAATAACGAATCCGACCCAGACATAGTATACTAATCCTCTGACACGGCACCCGTGAGCTAATAGTGGTTTGATCCTCATAAGGCACCAACCCCACTACGAGTGGTAGAAAAAGGTGAAACCCGCACGGAGTAAGAACCACACACATCTACCCACTCTACGATACCCGGTTCACGGTCACCTATGGTCATTCAAACATCTCCATGAGATACAATTACCAACAATTTCTCAACAAAAGTTCATAAGTAAATCAAAAACTCCCCAATTCTATAGGTATTTTCCTACTGGAGCAATTTCAAGAAAAAAAAATATGCAAGAGATCATCAAACATATATTTTTATTGTTCAAACAAAGCACTAGATTTTTGGAATCAAGAATAAGGAATATCAAGAAGAAAAATCTTTATTTCTTAAAAGAAACAAGGGTTTTGAGATTTCAAAGATTTCATGTCTATCAAATCATAACTTCATTCAAAACATGACAATATTTGCAAGAGTATTAAGAAATAATAATTTTATAACATACCTAAGATTTAGAAGCAAAATATATATAGATATAAACTCTAGCCTCAATGTAAGAGAATGAGAAGAAATCTCTACTTAAAATCAAGAATTTCAAGCAAAACTCAAGCTTTAGAGCCTTTCTTCTTCCCTTTTTCTTCTCCTAGGGTTCTAAAAGGTTTGGGGTGAGAATAGAAAAAAAAATGGAGAAAAAGGGCTGAAATTTGTGTTTTAAACACAGCAGTCCACGACAGTTACTGTTCACAGGCTAATTTTTTGATTTTCTCCAAAATTACGATTTTGCCACTAAAAATTTTCAATTTGATCCATACGACTATCCTAAGGTTTTTCGACGTTTTGGATTCATTTTTAATGTTATTTTAACCTAAAAACATTTATTTTTATGATTTATCTCAAAACTAAAGTAAATTTACACTCGAAATACTAAAATGATTATTTTATTCCTCCGAACCGCTATATGTGCTAAATGGCTATTTCAAGTTTTTCGGATCTCCCAGGTTCAATGATAATATTATTTTGACCTAAAAACATTAATATTTTTACTTAGTTACCTTAAACACCTCTAAAAATTAAATTTCACAATCAATTTGTCTCCCTATTATTTATTCATATTATTACAATCTATAGGGTTCATGCATAACTCATCACCTATATTAGAATTTCAAAAATAATTACTTTGTATATAAAGATAAGAGTGTGGAGGTTTATAGTTGCCCACCACCACTCACAACCACAACCCACAATCATTTGTCATTGCCCACGACTGCCACCACCCATTGTCACTCACCCCCACCACACCTACTACCACTACCGACATTCACTACCACCCACCACCAATGTCGCCCACAAGCATTTGTTGTCGCCCACTATCATCATCACCGCCCACCACCAAAACCCACCTCCGTTGTCGCCTCAACACCATAACCATTGCCTACCACCACCCATACCCACCACCACCCCACCATCGCTATCACTAACCCACCACTACTACCACCACCATCACCACTACCACCACCACTGTCGTCGCCCCCCCCCCACCACCTCTACCATAACCACTACCACTGTTGGCTACCATTGTTGCCAACCGCACGACTCACTACCATCATTATCTCATTCTTATATTTATAACCACTACCACCATCGCCCACTGCCATCACCCACCACTACCATCGTTGCCTACCATCATTCAATACCATAATCCACTAGCACCCGTCATCGCCCATTATCACCCACTCCCACTACCACCACCATTCACCATCACCGTCGTCCACTACCATTCACACCCACCACTACCATTGTCACTGCCCACCACCATACACCACCACCACTGCCAACCACCATCACCATCGTCAACCACAGCTACCACCACCACTACGGTCGTCACCTCCCACTATAACCATCACTATATCCCACTACCACTACAACCTTCGCTCACCTCCACTACAACTGATGCTTAGATTCTTTGATCTCTCATTTATATTTATGATTTGATTTTAGGTATGAATATAAATATATTTATGAATGCCAATTTTTTGTATTATTTCGTATTTTCAGGCACGACAATAACTAGTCCTATAATATAATAACTTGGTCATGCATTTATATTTGATAGTATAATTATCATTCATACTCGTTTTAGATTGACATATCTTCAACGAGATCCCCTCCATTATTCAAAACATTACAGACACTCATTCTAGTTTTTATTTTATCATTGACACCCCTTGCCGTTAAATCACTGTTTTTAACAATTTTTTTTATCCAAAATATCAAAATTGTTCCTACATAAACCTCAAATAATCTTTTAGCTGAACTTTTAAGGCGAAAGATCCAAACTAATTTTTTTTTTTAATATGACAATATTAACTCTTGTGTGTTGATAGAGATTGAGACCTGATCGATGAAAGCTAGAGTTTCTACTTCCAATTGTCCGAATTGCACAAACCAGACTGAACAAGCAAGATGAAGACGAGTGAGAAGTAACTTTCTCCTCCTCTTCATCTTTGACAACATCTACCAAATCTTTGTGTATGAAGGCCACCTCATCAGATTCTTCTTCACAACTCATACCCTCAGATGTCATTGAAACCTTCTGGTTTGGCTGCACCAACTACAACACCTGGACCTATACCATTCCCAAGGAAAGACGTTGGTTCCACATTCTTCGAAATTTTGTCATCAAGACTCTACTTAGGATGGTCCCTGTCTTTAGTGGTGCAAAAACAACATCCTCAGAGAAATTTTGATTCAAACCATCAATATATTCGTGATTGTCAACCTTTTTCGTTGCCAAAGTACCATTGTGGAAGAACATATTGAATCCGAGAGAGAGAGAGAGAGAGAGGGAGAAGTAAGAGACGAGCTTGAAACAAGAGCTCTTCAGATATGCAAACCCTAGATTAATTGAGAAGATTGAAAGAGTCCAGATTCAAGATATGTTTGGTAGCTAACAGGAGTTTGAAGGTTTTGGAGCGAAGCCGAAACAAAAGGCCTAGTTTTGAGAGAGGGAAAGATAAAAAGCAAACAAAGCTGTGAAGATCGAGATCTAGGGGAGAGAGAGAGAGAGAAGACTGTTCTTTCCTTTCCTAAATATTGTAGCTGCCTAGCATAGGCTATGCTGCGAATAAAGCTTTTGAAGATACCCATGAATTTTTGGTAGAACGGTCTGTTCAGAGCCCTCCTTTTCCTTCTTAAATGAAGATGGTATAGACGTATATATTTTAGTTTGAGCAATACTATACGACCTTATTTGGAAATTTAATTTGGAGACTTAATAATGTGGCTTCAATACAATTATTGGATTAATTGTGAGTTCCAATATTAAATGAAGCCCACAACCAATCCAATAATTGTATTGAATTAGATCCCCAAATTAGGTCCAAATAGCATTTTCCATTTAGTTTTGGGTTAATTGTAAATTACATTTCTAAAGATCTATCGAATCTTATTTTGTGTCTTAAAAGATAAAAAATCTGAATTTATACCCTTAAAGATAGAATTTTATATAGGTGTGCACCTAAATTTAACAACCGTAAGTTTACCGCCTAAAACTAGTTAGGTAAGTTACACTTAGGCCCTTTCAAGTTTGTTATTTAATTATTTGGACCCTTCACATTTAGAATATTACTCATATCACACCTGATGTTTGTGCACGTATAACACATAATTCGTTGTCGTTGATATCTATTAATATAACTGTTAAAAAATATAATTTCATTCTAATAAAAAAATTATAATTTTCATACTACCTTTTATTTTGTGGGCCTATTACATTTTAAATTTCAAAATCAAGCTTACCATTTGAATGTCCAATATGCATGTATTTATATAATATTATTTATATCCAATGCAATACATCACTTGAACAGAATTATTTGGATGCCTAATTAGAGGAACATTGCTAGTCATTTTTGAATTCTCAGGAGACGTAGGTGTAATATTTTAAATGTGAGGGGTTTAGGTAATTAAGTAAGAAGCATGAGGGGAAGTAAGTGTAATTTAATCTATTTAGTTTAGGACTACAAATTGACAGCTGTTAATTTCAGGTGTGCAATGATATAAATATATATGTTTCAGAGTGTAAATTAAGATTTTTTATCTTTAAAATATAAATTAAGAATCGAATAATCTTTCGTGGTGTAATATGGGATCAACCCATTAGTTTTATGCTTTAAGCCTGGGTTTTTACATGTTTGAATTAATGTTATCAGAATCGGATTGGTCATCAAACCGGTAAAGAGACCGGATCAATGGTTCATTGGTTCAACCGTTGGGTCAACAGGTTGGACCGGTCATATAATAAAAAAAATAAAAATATATATATAATAATTATAAAACATAATAATTTAACTAAAAAATATAAAATATGTCTAAAATGCATAGAATTTGCCATACCCAGCAATGTGCAGAATAACCTTCAGATCCTGTATTAATTCATGGCATACCCAGCAATGTGCAGAATAAACAGCAAATAATTAAACAAACAACATCAGAAGGTCATCCAACATATGTTTTCCTTATCATTGTCAAATTGCCAGATCCTCCGGTGCTTAAACCGAATGGACTTTCTTAGACCCATTTCAACCATATTTAACTTGCAGAACTTTTCCAGAATGCTCGAATTGTGCATCTTTGAGTGACAGTAACCGAAGCAGTGGTGTCTGTCTGGGAGACTGGATTCAGTATGGGAAGAGCAAGGGAAATGTTTACAAAGATGCAAAGCCAAGTGCCAGTCTGGTGATGGTGAACTGATCGACGCAGAATGCAGAGAAGGTGAACCATTCAAAATTTTCTTTTATCGACTTCAATCCGTCCGGTTTTAAAAAATTGTCTGATTCACAATTTTCTTCCAAAATGGGTCAGTTTGACAGTTTTTTTCGGTTTCCTTCCTTATCCGGTTTAACTAGTCAACCGGACTAGTTAAGGTCCTGATTCACTGTTGAACCGGTCCGACTGGATGATCCGATCCAATTCTGATAACACTGATTTGAATAAACATTTTCTCCTCTAATTTCTGCGTTCTGCATGTTTCCTTCCGTGTGGTAATGTGGGTGGGAAACCACTCAATCTCGCTCCAGGTATTTATTTTTTCTCTATTTTTTTTCTTATCCAGCTTGAATGATTTTTGTATCTTGTTACCTTTCATCCACAATATATAAGAAAACACATTGAGATTTTTAGTATACTGTCTTGTAGTTCACTATCAGTGAAGGGTACAGGAATATGGTAGAAGTTTTAAAATAAATAACCTTTTTCATTAAAGCTATTTTAGTTAACTGTGTATTTTATAAACTTTACACCTTAAAAATATCCAGGTGGACCTCTGACCTTTAAAAGTAATGACTTTGTACCTGTCACCTGACCTTAAAAATCATGTTTAACGTATTAAAGTTTGAGTAGATTAAAATTTATATTTTTTTTATGTATCAATTTAGGCTGATTAAAATTCAATGTGAGTTGTTTAAAATTTGATTCGAGCTTATTAAAACAAAATTTAATTGGTTTGAACCAAATTTTAATCGGCTCAAATTTAAATACGTATAAAATATAATTTTTAACCAACTCAAATTTTAATACGTACAAAATGAATTTTAATTGTTTCGAATCTAATTTTAATCGACTCGAATTTAATACGTAAAAAAATTCAAAAAATATAGGAAATCTCATTAAAGATATGTCTATTTAGAGGAGGTGTGGATGAAGTTTTTCTTAATATATATCATAGGCAATTTAATAAAACTTCATTCTAATTAATGTCATTAATCAGACAAGGGGTGTTAGTGAAGATTTACAAAATAGAGGAAGTGTCCTTGAATATATGATAAATTAGAAGGGATATGACAGAAATTTTTCTTATTTGGTATTTGAGCAAACATGACTGATGTATTACATCTTTTTATGTGGCTTGAATATGGATATAGCATCTATCTAATATTATTGCTACTAAGCTAAATTCTCAACTTAATTATATAGAAGTAAAATAATGGTCAAAATTGACCTAATTTTTTACTTGAATTCAATTTTTTTTTCTGCTCAAAAATATTATCTTTTCTTTACGGTTCACAGTATCAATAAGTTAACCATGCATACCCCTTTCATCTCTTTCCCTTATCTCTCTTTTATTTTCTCTCCATTCAATTTAATTTTAAATAGCGTAATTAAAGAAATAAAAAATAAAAAAAACTTGTTATTTAAAATGTAAATATTGCATGATTGATGCTTGAGTTTTGGTACCTGGGGTTTTGTAAAGGTTTTAAATATTCATTTATTCATGTGGATGCTTAATTATGAAAAAAAATTGCTAAAAAATGATAATTCTTAATAGCAAATCAATTTCTTGAAAGAGTAAAGAGTCACCGTTAGGTGGTTCTGTGTCAAGTGCGATTGGTTGTCCTTCTTTTATAGATTAAACTATCGTAACTCTAAAGTTTACATAGTTCATCAGATCAGATAGCCCGCTTTGGGCAACCAATCAAACCCAACACATCTAATTCCATTTCGATCAACAATTTGGAGGTATGACTGAGTGGTTTAAAACATTGGTTTGTTAAATGAACATACAAGAAAATTGTATTATGGGTTTGAATCCCACTTCCTCAGACACAGAAATGAAAGGGGGCGGACGAAATTACGTGAGAGAAAGCTTACTTTCAAAGAGAAGAGAGCTATCAAGTTGTGCATTTCTTCTTAAAAGTCAAGAAGGCTTATGGTACCCTTTCCCTCGTTCATATGGAGTGAGTTCATTGATGGCATTGAGTCTCGCCCTGCTAGCTCCCTAATGCTCCGTTTGGTGGAAAAGATGAAAAGTAAGAAGGATAGAAAATAAGATAGATATATTTTCTATACTTCCACTTTTTCATCGTATCAAACGGAACATAAGTGAATTTACTTTCACTTCCCTCTGTTTATTGTTCAGAAAAAGCAATAAGCTTTTGGGATGCACTAGTTTCCTTCCAACAGAGAGTTTTCATTACAGTCTCAAATATTATTGCAAGATAAGGATATTGCAACAAATTGGGAACAAAATAGAATAATTATCTCCTGATTAGTTGAGTGCATTAGTTGAAATGTAATCTGATAATGAGTGATTCAATAGAAAATCAGAAATCTGACAAACCCAACCTACATGGGTCCTCAACTAATAATTAGACTTAAAAAATGGCCACTTGGACAAGGGTGACATCAAATTAGTACTTACTGACACCACCCTTGCCCGGGTGTGTTGCTTTACTAAATATATATAGGCTTAGATCCTGAGGTTTAAACCCCCCCCCCCCCCCTCAAAGCACTTTATCTCCCACTTTAGCTTACTGGAATCCCTTTTCCATTTCATACCCTTTGAAACATGGACAAAATCCAACCTGTTTTGGGGATATTTAGACACCATTGAGACTCTTTTTTAGTATTACGGTAAGAAGTGTTTTAGATCAACTTAGTTACACTTATTTCGTCTAATTTTTTCTTTAAATCAATTAAAGATAAGTCATCTGCGTTAGAACTAAAAAATTCAAGAAAGTTAAATTACTTCTAACTCCAAAAAATCAAACTCAAAATAACTAAATATACAATTTATTTTGTCTCCACCGTCCACCGTGTTACTCTTGCGGTTCCCGTTGAGGACTTGGTCAACATAGCAGATGGCATAACTTCTAAACCTCACAAGTCATCTATCTGCAGATGAATATTCCAACCTCTCAATACCCAAGTGTCAAACTCTCTCCAGAGTGCAGAGTCCAGAGTCTCCACCATCCACATCATGGGATTAGCATCTTTTTGTTAATGATTTACTTCCACTACACAAATATGATGCAGCAGAGAAACTTGAATTCAAGATCTTAACTGAGGAGTAGCAGATGGCATAACTTCTAAACCTCAGAAGTCATCTATTTGCGCAGATGAATGAATATTTCAACCCCTCAATACCCAAGTGTCAAACTCTCTCAGAGTCTCCACCATCCACATCATGGGATGAGCTTCTTTTTGCTAATGATTTACTTCCACTACACAAAATATGATGCAGCAGAGAAACTTGAATTCAAGGTCTTAACTGAGGACGACCGAGAACAGTGGAAATCGATTTCTCCAAGGGGGAAAAGAAAGAAAAGATCGATTCTAATGCGCAGAAGAAGAGCCTGTGCAGGAAAAGCACTATACAGGAGTTAGAAAGCGTCCATGGGGAAAGTTTGCAGCCGAGATCAGGGATTCAACAAGGCAAGGAATGAGGGTTTGGCTCGGAACGTTTGATACTGCTGAGGAGGCTGCTATGGCTTATGATCAAGCTGCTTATTTGATGCGAGGTCAGTTGGCTCTCCTGAACTTCCCAACGGAGAGAGTTCAGGAATCGCTTCGAGTCATGAAAATGAAGTTCAGCTACAAGGATGGTTATTCCCCAGCTGCAGCCGTGAAGGAAACACACAAGATGAGAAGTATGTCAAAAGGTAGGAGAAAGAAAGGGGAACAAATAAATGAAATAAATAATTCATGGGTCTCAGAAAATTTCTAATAATGTTTTGGTATTTGAAGACTTAGGAGCAGATCTGCTGGATGAGCTCCTGAATTCATCAGAGACTGCAAGTTTGTAAATTCGCTCAATCTTCTATTATGTTCATCCTTCGCAGTTGGCACTTAAGATCTTTGTTCGTTTGTTTTCCCAATCATCATCTGAGAGTAAATTTACATCACATTCACCATGTTTTATTTCTTTGTTGTTGCTTCATATATCTCTTCTCTTTTCTTTTGGGGCCAGTAAAAAAATTCATTCTGAAAAAAGATGATATTACTTCTGATATTAGGAAATTACTTCTAATTCTGAAAAATTGCTGCTACTAGGAAATTAAATGTGTTACCTTCATCATCTATTGTTTGTCATAAACAATATCGTTTTCTTCATCATCTGAGAGTCCTGCCAGTACTAATTAGGGAATTTACATCACCCTCATCATCTTTTATGATATCTCCAATATCCATTTCGATTCTTTTTCGAGGGTAAATTATGTATTTAGTGACAGTAAAGAGTGTATGACAGTGAGGGGGTGAGCCCTTAAGAAGCTGGAGTTCTGGTGAGAGTGCTAGTATTGAGCCATTAATTTCAGAAGAACCCTACTTCTATGGGCCAGGTATACATGCTTTGTAGATGAGGGAGGCATTTGTTACAAAATTGTGATCATGCCCTTCTGCTCACAAGAGGTAATCATTGGATCGGTTCCACCTCAGTTCAAGCTGCTGATTCTGTCCTGAGTATTTAAATTCCATGGATTTCAGCTTTCTTGTGATAGCTTGCTTTATGCTGAGTAGCAGCAAGTAGTGAATTTCCACTTCGATTCTTTCCTTATCTACATCCATATTTTCTTTAGTTCTCTTCATTAAGCAGAGAGAGAGAGAGCACAAACTTGCCTTTGTTCGATGGACAATACAAGTATCACTGTTTAGCGTTTACCTAATTTCAATCTGCAGTTTTCCTCATTGATATCCTTTTTTCCTTTTAATTGATATATATTTTTTGGGTTTTAGTAATTTTTGCAATTTGAAATGCTTTTGTTTTTGGTTTCTTGGGATAAAGTAGTTTCTCATAACACATACCATATAGCTTCACAACATAACCATTCTAGTTTATCTGAAAGATAACTCTGATTCACCATTAGCATCAGCAGAGGCATTTTAACTGTATGATACAAATTAGGGTGTTCTCACTTACACAATGCATAGTTGCACTACTTCTTTGTTGTATCATTTGCAGGCTGATGAGTGACCCTAGTATTGAGGGCATCAAACAAACCCCAAAATTTAATTTCATGTTGCACATGAATCTCCGCCTATTCCATAATAATTTCGTGAATGTAAGCATAATTGCTGCACCTATTAGCAGCAAATGCAGGCCTTTTGTTAATTATCTTCTTGGAGAAAAATCAATGTTGATGCAAGCCATAATCTATGTCCCCGTAGAGAAAATATCAACTCAAGAATCTTAACATGGTTTCAGATACTTTATTAACATTTAGTTTAACACAATATATTTCTCATGCACTGTCCCTTTCAATGGGATTTGAAGATAAACATCTTTTATTGGCTCATAAACTGACCGAGGTAAATTTAGGAACTCCATTTGATTATTCCTTCTTATTTTACTAAGCATCTGAACCATGAATTTTTTTCTTATGAATCATCAATCAGATAGATGAATATTTTGAAAGAGGGTACAAAAGTTTTGAAGTAATTTCATCCATGTTTTCATGGGGATGCAATTTCATCATTTTTTTGAAAGAAAACCAATAAGTAACTGAGAAACATTTTATTTTTGAAGCGGTGCTTGTCTTACAGGAAATAATTTTTTGCCTAGGAAGAAAAAGAACTGTGTTTTTTAATATGTCAGATCATTAGGGTGAGAACAATGCACTTTGAAGAAATTCACTTTTTTCTTGCTAGGACAGCAGATTGAATATAATGGATACTGAGACCAATCCGGGCCCTTTGAGGAGCACACACTTAAAAATATCTCCCCCACTGTATCAAAGTTTGTTGTTGGATTGTAACTTCATTTCCAGGATACTGTAAAGTCATTATTGGGTAGGTTTTTTGTACAGCCTATAAAGACCAGTTTACTATCCAAAATTGTGCAGTTGATAGTGTAAGAATGAGAGGATTGAGGTGAGAGACTGTTTGTGTATATATTTGAGATCTTGTGTATGTGTGTGTGTGTTATATCTATGTATCTATCTACAGCCCTTTTATGAACATGATTTGTGCCCCTCCTATGAACATATAGTCTTGGCAAAGGGGCCGCCTTTTCTTGGTGGATCAGTTCTGTCTAGCATAGGCTACCAGCATGCCTTCCAGACGCTCACTTATGCAAAGCTGTGCTATCCAAGCTAAGAATTAGGAATGAAAAGCATGAGATTTTCATACAAAAAATGAAAAAAGGCTCAAGCCTTGCTTTTGTTGAAAGATTTACTTTCCTTGAACTTTTCTCAGCTGTACCCTATGTGTTATGTTTTTTTTTAGCAGATCCTATCTGTTATGTTAAAGGGTTGATATTCTATGTCTAGGTCCATGAGGATTAATAAGCCAGAGTCTGAGACACATCTTACCAGTATCCTAGTGAATATGGGTCATCCACTATCTCCAACATAAATACTCAACATACTTTGTTCTCTTCAAGCAAATATCATTTGGGACACATTTCGCATTTAATTTGCACATTACTGTGGTGTCAAACTCACATAGTATCTTCAACATCGAACAATTGTAGCCATATTTGTTTTCATTAAAGTTGGGGAAGATTAATAAGGAAACCTGTAAAACTATTTGTCAGTGGAAGTTGCAAAGTTGTCCAAAGGTAGGCAAATGCTTCATGCTGCTTGGTTGGGAGAAAAAGGTTCACTTCGAATGGGTAGTTTGTGCCAAAATTGTGGTTGTTGACAACAAAATTGCAAGATGATCAGCAAGCTTCTAGGTGCATCAGCCCCAAAAATCTGTTAAACTACCAATTCATTTAAAAGTCTACACCGCAATTTTGATAATTAAAGAAGTTGAACGTGCTTGATCAAGCACTTAGCGAGTACAAGCTACAGATTATTCAAATTAAAATCAATATCCCTAATTTTTTTTTTTTGACATGATACTTTCGTTGTATCGTAATCTCTAATGTTATCACTCAGATAAGGTACGCACAAAAACAATAAGTTTTGATGCACAAAAATAGTAAGTATAGCATTTTATGAAGGAATGGGTAAGGATTTCAGAGATGGAGTGACTCATGCTTCGTCCAGTCAGTCAACAATTTGAGAGAGAGAGAGAGGGGGGGGGGGGGGGGTTACAGAGACGGGGAGAGAAGATGAAGTTCTTCTGAGTGGGCAAGGGTACAATAATAATAATTATACTAAGTAATGCAATCCATTGGCATTTTAACCCACCTCTTATTAGGTGGGTGTGAGTTAACCTATGTACCAAGGTTTATATGTACTGCACATTCTGGGTCAGGATGTAATCCTACCGGATTACCCCATCTTCAAATTTGTTTTTGAAACATAATATAAATGAGCCCCACTAATTTTTTATCCAACCTTGCATGTGATAACTCACGTTAACCTGCAATCCAAACACCACCTTATAGGCATACAGACGAAGGTTGAGAACCTTGAGTCCTTATCAATGTACAATGCAAAATACACCACAACATATCGAATAACATGCAAGATAATAGATAGGGTAAGGATATGATATCTAAGTTGTTATTGTATCGAGATGAATCTCCACTATTGATTTTATTTTGGATCATTGAAAATTATTTATTGAAAAAAGTGACAAAAACTAAAAAATAATAAAATTTTATACAAGATTTATTTAGTTAAAAAAAATAAAGATACGATACTAAAAAATTATATTTCAATACAATAATAATATAATAGTATTATAGCCTTGGTATCTGCGAAATAATTGTATAATCTTACTTCAATTCACTGTTCCAACATAGTTAGATTTTCTTCCTTAAATCTATATAATAAAATATATAGTAACTTGAATTTTTATACCCTACATATTTTCTCCCCTAAAAACATTATATCACTCATTTTCATCATATGTTTAATCATTTATATATTTTTCCCCTAAAAATATCACACCACTCATTTCTATCATATGTTTAATCATTTAATATTTGATTAATTTGTAGTTAATATAATTTTTATTACAAACATTATTCATATATGATAGTATACACATGTTGAAAAATTTAATATAGTGGGATCGATTCTTTGAGTGCTCAAATTTTATATTTTATTGTGCCTTCAGGCACGGATTATGACTAATTTGATCCAATTAAGTCTGATTGTAGGTGGGTATTCATAAAACGGTAAAATCATTTTATTATAATTTATGTTTTTCAATGATTAGAATTACAAAAACAGTTTTTCCACATACAAATAACGTAATTTTTTTGAGTTAGTTTAATATTTACCAAGACAATTATTGAAAACTTCACATTTGCAATTAGCACCACGGAATGGCAGTGGACCGGGGCGAGGAAGTAGTTGTAAACTCCCATATTTTTATATTAATATACTAATGTAATTATTTAATAATTCTTATATATGTAATGACATAAGAATGAACTATATAGATTGTAATGGTCAGAATAAATACTTGAAAGACAAATTGATTGTAAAGTTTAAAGTTTCGAAGATGTTTAAGCTTGAGAAAGGTGGTTAGGTAAGTTTTTAAATATTTATAGGTCAAAATAAGATTTTCTTTGAATTCGGAAGGTCAAGAAACCTTGTGAGAGGTAACATGGGGTGTATTAAAAGTTATGAAGTATTCCAGAGTTAAAACTCATTTTAGAAAGAATTCGAGTAAGAAGAAATTTGACACTACCTTATTATTTTGGCCATAAATTTTTAATCCTAACTCCGATTGAGCTGATTGTTGGATAGTAAAAACTAGATTTCAAGAATTACAAAAGTGTATTTTATGAAAAGTTCCTGAATCGACTTCTAAATAGGTGAAAACTACTCTTGATTTTGGGACAAAAAGTTGCCTCTATCCGGACGCTCCAAGCAACGTCCGAACGGTACTCCTTACCCAACAACTT